CACTTGAGATCTGCGATGATCACACTCCTTGTGACGTATTGGAGCTATCCAGTTACTGGGATGTGTGTAATAATACCTAATAATTCTTTGAAAGTTCAAGAAAAAGAGATTGATCTGGCTCTTTTAACGATAGCAGTGGTAGATATAGGCGCGATTTCCTCTTTTAAATCGCCGTGATCATGCGAAACATTCTCGTGCATGAGTCCCCTCCATTCAGCACACCAACGGAAATGTGCAGAACTCCTTCGTACTTCACTGAACAATGCGGCAAACCGACTTGGTGCGTGTCTTCCGTTGGCTTCCCTGCCCCATTTCATCAATGTTCGAACGGTTCTGAATGCGCCGGAAATTGAGTTCATGCAGCCCAATTCTCAGATAACATCGGATGTCGCTTCCCCAGCACATCGTACACATTGACTGGTCCGGGACCAGGACAAACCAATTACCAATGCCATGCTACCCACCAGGCCGATTACGATCCTGCCCTCGTTTGATCAATGAGTGGCAATGGCTTCAGCCTAGTTTTTATGTGTGATAGGAAGCCAGATTGAAGTCGATCCACTGTCTATCATCGAACCGCAAACTTGCTTGCCTTGAGGCGAAGAGGCGATCCCGACAGGAATGACATGAAGAAGATCGGATTCCACAGATTTAAACAGGAACTATGGGACAATTATAGCTTCGAAGTTCATAATTCCTCCCCAACGCCAGTCCCCACAACCGACAGAGTGTGGGTGTTGAGGCCAGCGCATATGACGCCGTTGAAGATGCGCCCCCTTGAAAATGCTCCACGTTGAATTGGGTTTTCCTCTCAAGTTTTCATGTTTGACCCCAACTTCCAGCGTGAATCCCAGCACACTATTTCCCAAAAAGAATATAGAATGGAGATTAGAGTCCAATCGTTCTCGGCGGTTTAATCCCCCAAGAATATATTGAAGATGAGGAAAAGAAGTTCCAGGTCCGTAAGTTCAAGAAAGAAGAGGTGCGGTTTCTCCCCATCTAGGGTTGGAAAATGAATGTGAAAGCTGAAGATGGCAAAGTTATCTCAGTAAACTATTGTCATTTTTCTTCCTTCACCCATTTCGCATCAATAGATAGATTGATCCTGGAATATTGGGTACTGCTCGAGTTACTAGTATAGGTATCAACCCTTTATCTCTAGCTGTCTTTATGAAACGCCAGGCTCTTTAAACCCGAAACAGAAGGGACTGGAAATAGACGATAGGAAGATCGCACGAATGCCATGCTTACTAGAGAAGGGGGAATGAGCCATGGCTTTGGTAATAATTTCCCCATGTTCGTGTTTTGACGACAGAAGTAATTGAGGAATAAAAATGTGGTATATCCCTGATCATCACTTTATTGCCCAGTGAACGACTCTACCACATTTGAATACCATCCAGGTTTTCCGCTCTGATACAGCCTCATTGCAGTTGCTAAATACTGACGTTGTCCTTCAACACCGATGACAAAGTATATCCTTTCATCAAGCTTTGTTCGTTTGCTATTTGGGTCACAATTGAAACATATTCCTCTCTATCCGCAAAATTCTGCTTATCTTCTGCGTCCTTTGGGATGCCCATTTCATCATAGTTCCACAGCGCATCAAGCGCAGGAGGAACCACGGAAAGAGTCATGGGAATTCGCCAGTTATCTCGCATGTTCCAGCAACGGCTGCTTCCCAATCAATGATACCCAGTAAGCGATGCTTGTCGTCAAAAATAATGTTGTTATGTCTAAAGTTGCCGTGGTATAAGGAGAATGCCCTATTATTGTGGATAGATATATTTTCTGCTATGTTGTTGATCGCTGACTTGAATAAAGACGCAGAGGCTATTAATCTGTCTGCAAACTGGCCAGCAGATTCTTTGATCTTATCCTCTGGCAGGCCAAATACAACCTTGGTAAACCGTGCCTGGAAAAACTCGGTAATTTTGTCAAAAGGACTTCCGAAACCCGGTATCCCTATATTTGGGGAAGTCGTCATTACATGCGTGGATTTCTGCCATTCTAGCATAGACCGATGCTTTATATTCAGAAGGTATTTTCATATTCAAATCCATTCCAACATTACCTCTCAAACAAACCATGAGCATAAACTGTGCTTTGACCTTTTTCTGAAGGTTTCCATCAAACACATGAATTTGCGGCACCGGCATGTTGGTTTCTTTCCGAATGAGTTGAATTATGTGGTGTTCGCACTCCATCGCCCTTGTCATCTCGTGTGGACAGTTTCCGCGCTGTAACAAGGGAGGCATCCGAAGTCTGGCGACCCATCGTGTTTTGTCAGAGAATTCGACAATGCGGATCATATGGTTAAAACCAAAGCCGATGTCTGGTAAAAGTTTGGCATTCCATTCCATGACGCTTCCACGACGCGGAATGGAGGAGTGAATTCCAATCGGTGGATTCCAGGAAATTTTCAACCCTCGACCGAAGTGGAGGACGACCATCTGCACTCAAACGGGCCATCGTTGGTAACGCTGTCGGTAATAAAGTTTACGGGTCATTTTGCATGTAGAGTCTTTAGGGAAAACCAGCCTCTTTCTTCCCCGATTTGACAGAGGGTTTAAGCCGGACAATATTATAAAGCGCGATAAGTTCGTTATTCAGCAATGCAGGACAGTGATAATCATTAAGCAGAGTCTAAACTCTGCACACAACGTCGCCCACTGCGTATCGCAGGACTTATTTAGTATCACAAGTTACTTTTCCTCATTTGCTTGGACGTTTGCAGAAGCAGGAAACTCTAGTATGAAGTTGGTGTGGCGGCACAAAGTGGGCGAGTTGGCCGTCAAATACGTTAGCATATTGACCGAATCAGAGAGAGGCTAGGGTTCGAAGATCTTGAAAGGCGATTGAAAGATGAAAGAAAAATTTGAATAATATGGTGTAATGCAAAGTTGTTTTTAGTGGAATTGGATTTTCGCAAATATTTTACATTTTTTTAAAGTTTAAAATAGGATGAAAGGGAATGAATGGCATTACATGCTTTGGCTTTAAGAACTTTGAAAGAAGGGAGATAGATCGTACACGCAAGAAGGCGGGATTGCGAATTATATGAGCGGGGAAGATACTGAGCAAAATCATTGAAACATGAAAAAGAAAACGCAGCACCATTTCCAGCAACTTGCGCTCCTAAACCCACGCACCAGTTCCTTTCTTTTAATTCCTTATCCCCTTTTAATTTCCATTGGGAGACGATTATCCTGCACAATGAATTTGTACAATAAAAGGCAAACAATGATGAGCCAGTAGAGGTTAATAGAACAATGGCGATCGTCCAAAAATGGGCGGCTGATTCCGGCAGATTGCTGCTCCTATCTTCATCCCCGATGAATCCGCAGACACCATCAACCGGGGGAAAGCACGGATAACTGTCAAGAACCTACCACTGCCTCGACCAAAACATGCCATAACATCATAAGAATTGATTTAGAGAGTGTCTCCCCATATCCCAACAACACTCATGGAGAATCCCAGGCCAAGGATCCACATCCTCAGCTTCTGAAACTTGCGCTCCTTCTCCATATCAGCCTGGACAACCTCGCCATTGACGTTCAAATCGTCATCCGATTGCGGTGCCGCTATTTCCGCGTCTGCAGCAGCAGCGGATGAAGCTTCTTCCTCGCCCACGATTTCGATCTCACTTCCGTTGCCGTTGGAGTCTTCCTCCTCGCTCCTCGCTGATACGGACCCTCCGGCACAAGTGGTAGCATGAGAAGATCCCCAGGAAATGACACCAAAGCCGGATGGGTGGTAAGTACAAATTCCCACCAAACCACCTGACAGCCAGTTCCATGTCGCTTTTTCGCGATTGTACCACCATTCCAGGCCAAGTCCACCGATTAGAGAGGTAAGTGCCGTCCAGATCAGGTAAGGGTGCCTTCTGCGTGGGGAGGACATAGTGAAGGCGGTGAAGAGAGTAATCGCCGTGATGTGAGTAAGTCGAAGAACATGCTTGCTGGTCCGCAGTTGCAGGTCCTTGAGGGTTCGTGAAGCGGTGGGAGCATTAGGAAGGGATTGGAGGGATGGAATTATAAGCACAGAGGTAGCATATGAAAGGCCCTATGATTGATGATTCGTATATATGTCAGCCCGTGGAGTCTAGTTGTCATATTCGATATTGTCCTGGCGCCTTTTGTTCTCCTATCATGGTGTTTGTTTCCGGGAAAGTAGTGAATGAATGATACATACCGTTAAAAGGCCGAGGGAGATGGTCCCCACAAACTTGGAAACTGTAATGGGACAAGCCATGGCGCAAGATTGACGTTTATGGTCGCATACGATAGCCTAAATCTGAAGGGAGGAAAGACATGCGCTGTAGTGCTTGAAGCCGCTGTGTTCGCCACGCAACGGAGTCACGGATGTTCGTGTGGGAACAGTGACAAATGGCTACCCCGCCGCCAATGGAGGGATACGATAAGTGCAGTTGAAATAGCCCTAGATAGCAATATAATGCTGATTAAACAATAGTCAACCGAGAGTGGTGTTTGCCTACTGTAATATTAGATTTGGTGCTGTGGTAGTTAAAGTGATGTCAATTTGCCGGATCAGTCACCTCAGCCTGGCCAATCAGAAAACCGGCATAGTTTCAATTCGCCCAAGACTCTATCTCGTTTAGAGATCACATCAAATCGCACTGGAAAAATAAATCTATCCACGTTATGGGCTGTCCCCTAGGAACAAGACCAAAATGGAATCCATAACCATTTCTTGAACAATTCTAACAATCAATGACGGTTCACTGTACAGAAATTGGTCCCGAATTTGGTTGCTTATTTAAGGCACCTTTTACGGTGGAGGCGCACTTAATTTTATGTTGGCCCTAGGCTGCCTATCACGGACTAGCGCACCGCACATATATGCCTCAGCTGCCGACAGGCTAATACAACCACTTTTAGACGTCCCACATTTTATAAGTGGCTGTTACATGTACAAACGCGTATTAGCTGTCCGCGAGCTGAAATATAAATTCGGGGTAATTTACTAGGGCGCAAACGAACTTCTGACAAATGCGCCTTAGCTTGTCCAGTTGCTGCCGAGGCTATTTTTAAACAACGTTATCCCGCCAGCCAGCGGAAGCGCAATTTTAGCCATGCTTGATCTGATCATCAGCCTCAGTTTATTACAAATTGCTGCTCATCTCCTGCATGAATTTTGAATGTATTAGTACGTATGCATGTTGCAGAATCGATGCACCGAGGTCCGACAGCTAGCTGAAGACGATTACGGAAGTAAGAGGCAGGCGCAGGTCCCACCGCTGTATAACTCTCCGAAAACACCTCTCCGCCTCCGAGAGGATTGAGATATATCTTCAAGTTCCCTTCTTCTAGGCAATTAGTACTGAAAATACTAGCATATTGTGCGGCAAATTGTCAAGGCGGAAATCTCCTCAAACTAACTTTCGTTTGAACCAATATCAATCCGCGGACAGAGCCGTGTCGCTTTTGCCTGAGGCGCCTTTTAAGGATGTCTCTTCCTAAGGCTGCATATATCAGTGAGGTGTGGAAGGACGGAATCTTCGGTATGTTTCTTCTCTGAGCTCTCTTATCAATATCATTGCTCGACATACCTTTTCTCCAAGTTCCGCAGTTCAGGCAAATAATCTAACCCTCTCACCCAATCGTAATAGATAGCAAAGTCGTATTCTGTACCGGCGGTGCTGGCACTATTTGTAGCGCTCAAGTACGGGCAATGGTTCATCTAGGCGCCAATGCATTCATTCTCGGACGGAATGTCGAGAAAACTGAGCAGATGGCGAAGGACATTGCTAGAACTCGCCCTGGCGCAAAAGTTATTGGCCAGGGAGGGGTTGACGTCCGGAGCTTCGATAGTCTAAAGGGTGCAGCTGAGCGATGTGTGAAAGAGTTGGGTGCAATCGACTTCGTTATGTATGTTATACTCCACGGCTCTGTCTCCCCTTTTCTGCGTTAGTGAGCACTGTGGGACAATTGTACGGATCAACTACGTTTGGAAATTCATTATGTGCTCCCATTTTCGGAGATATGATAACATGGATGCTAACTTATGTTTCCACAAATCTTCAGTGCTGGTGCTGCTGGGAATTTCCTTGCCTCGATAGAACAGCTTTCCGTCAACGCTTTCAAATCCGTCATGGACATCGATGTTTTAGGATCGTATAATACTCTCAAAGCCACCATTCCCTATCTTGTCGAGTCCGCAGCAAAACACAAATGTGATGGAATTACTCGTGAGTTACAGCGTGTCATTGTTCAAACGATGATTGTTACATACCAATATAAATAAACTAATTTTGCTCACTATTCACCAAACACAGCTTCTCCCACAGGCACAGGAGGACGAATTATTTTCGTCAGTGCAACACTCCACTATACCGGAACCCCGCTCCAAACGCACGTCGCAGTTGCCAAAGCCGGAGTAGACTCGCTGTCTAATAATGTGGCAATTGAATATGGCCCTCGGGGCGTCAATTCTAACATAATCTCCCCCGGGCCAATCGGAGGCACAGAGGTATGTTGTCCGGGACCGCATTTTCAAATGGCCTTATATATTAGCGAAGCCTTTCTCCACCAACCTGTGTACATTGATGATCATCCTAACGGCCTTATGCACTGACAACTGCCCTTGAAATCGCCAGGGAATGCAACGTCTTTCTCGCGCGGACGATGCAAAGGGCCAGATGTCCATAATCCCATCAGGAAGATGGGGCACGGTGAAGGAAATAGCGGATGCCACCGTCTATCTCTTCTCGGATGCCGGAAACTATGTCAATGGCACAAATCTTGTTGGTACGTAATTTCACCTGCGCATTAACATACATACTCTTCCAAACCTTCCCCGTTTACATGGCAGCGAGAGTCCGAATTTTATTTGTCTCTGTGAAATTGCCGAAAGCTAACCATTCCCTCCTTCTCTTGTTTTCTTCGGTTACAATCAGTGGACGGTTCTGCCTGGCGTTTCCAGAATCAAGTCAACAAGTCTGGATTTAAATATCCGGATTTTCTCCTTTCCGGGGAAGAGGTGACGGGTGTAGCAGGGTTGAAGAAATCGAAGTCAAATCTTTGATCTCTACTACCCATGTACAGTAGATGTGGGAGGAGCTTGAATTACTTGGATGCTGGGGTTGAATCAGATATCTGCAGGTGTTTTTCCCACTTTACTTACCTCTTTGTCATTTGCACGCCATTCAATATTCTATATTCCTTTATTTTTGCTTTTCACCGGCAGGTAAACATTACATGAAGGGGGCTCTTGGCAGTGATTTTTTGCTCACACAGCATAACAGGTTGCATATTTCAAATATCTATAGATAGATGATAATATCTGACTGATGGCATGGACTTGACGGTTCTCCAATTTCCTTTTTGCATTATAATATGATAATGGACGAACAAAAATCGGCCATTTAAAAGTAACGACGCTAGCAAGCCAGGTCAAAACCCAAACATAACCTTTTTTAGTATTTCGGCTCGGAAAATCAAACAATCAGCGCGCATGGCTAAGTGGTTACGGCGTCCCGCTCGTAACGGGAAGATCGTCGGTTCGACTCCGACTGTGCGCATTTTGTAGACTTCACTTTCTTATATATTTTTACAGTCTCTGATCATTGATACTCAAAGAACTCGTATTGGGCCTTGAGCGATGGAATTTATTTATGTTGTTCGGGGGTCATTCCTGCCTAGATGCTCGCATTCCTTACAGCGTTTTCTACAGAGAGCTAGTTCTCATTGGTGGTGGATGAGCTTTGTTGGATGAGAATTGTGCACCTTCTAGGATGTAGTATTCTTTATTGAGTAATGTACTGTACAACGAGGCCAACATAAGGCCGAGATAGCTAACTCCTTTGACTTTGTGTCCCACACCGTGGGAAGTAAACACGGGATGTGATAACCATACATACAGTCTTCCGCAAAAGCGTCCAATGCTAAAACTTTTACAATACCTCCGAGTCATGATTATGCATAGGTATCATCAAAAGTAATCTAATTGCTATGCATTGCCCTCTTGAGTGAAAAGAATACGATAGCGAGATGCAATGATTTGGGGTAGGTTCGTGGGTTAAGGACTGGGGGTGTGTAGGAATGGAAGTGACAAGAGGGACTCATTTATTGAGGTCTGGATAAGTGAAAGACAATGAAAAAAGTGAAAAAAGAAAAGATAGAAAAGACAATGCGATTAAAGACGTCGAACGGATACAAATGGGGCGTACGCTATGTATCAAATTAATTGTTCATAATGTAGGGATTTGAGAAGAAAGAACGATAGATGGGATACATCTCTATGCTTCGGTGGAAACCATCAAAATCTATGATAAAATATCAATAGGGCATGGCGATATCATGCTAGCAAGACCTATGTAGGTGCCGAAAAGAGCACGTATGCCTGACACTAATGGTAGAGCGAAGACGAAATGGCCACAGTAAAAAGGGGTAATACGCGAACCCATTTCCACCTTGTCTTCCGTGTGCTGCTGCGTTGCGTTCTCGTTCTACGATAGCCTCGATTGTCGCTTCAGCGCTCAGTGAAACTAAAGAGTGGGCTGCCAGTCCATGAAAGTGAATCATCATATGAGATGTGATATCGCTGTTGAAAATCAAAGAGAGTAACATTTCGAACGGGCGAGTGAAGTGAATGAATGGATGAACACGCCCATGTCTCCTTTAAGTGAGCTATTCGAACACACAAATTTCGAGGATCTGCTTTCATCTCTTTCTCATTTGTCTGCTTCCTATATCCATCTCATTTCTCCAAAGGAAGCCGTTCTTGTTCATTGCTTCTTCGTCTTTGATCCCTTGTACTTTGCACTACACAATCATTTTCCTTCGTTGCTAAGCGAAATTTAACCTGTCGTCGTTTTATATCGTCTGGGCTGTGCCCAGGGCGTCGATTCTTTCCGACAAGGAACGCTGTGTGGAACCTCGTTCTCGTGTTATTATCGTGGTTGGCCGAGCCAATCTCAAAAGACCCTATACTTAGCCTCCGATACCTGCTACCAGACAAGCTCAGGAGCACCTGGTTGGTATGAGCGGTCAAAGAAGAAACACACCAAAGGAAACACAGCTCGATATCACCCAAAAATAAGGCCCTTTGTCCTTGATTTCGCTTGAAAGAAGTACTGGATGCACCATTTCGGGGGCATAACCCGCCTGAGTAACTGGTTGAGTTGATAGTTCAGTCTCCAGCAAAGTCATACATCTGCAATCAGCTGCCTCAATAAATACGAAATTTCGTTGTTTCTACTTCAACATACCAAATCTCCATATTCGAAATTTCGGTCAAATTCATCACTCCCTTAGTAACAGATCGAGCGGCTTCTCGCCACCTCATTTTCCCTCCGGATCGCTCGTATTTTAAGCTGTGAATTCGAGATGGCGGGAAAGAAGGAAATAGAGAACGGCCATAACAGCAGCATCGGGCAGAACACTAAAATCAAACAAGCCTCAGTATCTTCAGGAAACCCAATCCAAGGGCATGCTAATCCCCCAAGGCCAATTGAGGATACACCTGTGAAGAACAGGAATACCAAGCAGGAAGCCAACTCAGGAAAAGAGAATCGGAATATTCATACGTCAATAACAAGCGAACAGGGCTCTGCTGCGAGTACGTTTGTCAATAAAGGTTCCACGAACAGAAGAGAAAAGCAGCAGAATGATGCACCAAAACCAGATCCAAATTGCAAGAGTAAAAACGAAGGCAATGAAACGGCTAAAGAAAAAATCTCTCTCTGCCAGCGACCAGGGGTCTACAGTTGCAAGGGACAATAAGTACTCCGCCCATACAGCCAGCCCAGAGGAGAAAAGATGTCTGATAAAATGGGCAGGTGCTAGCAAGCATGGGACAACTGTCACCGTTCCAGTCCAGCTGCAAATAGTAATGTCGACAAAGTGAAGGGCAAAGCTAGAGAGCAAGATCAAAGGTCCGTAAGTGAAATAGCAAGTATGTTCTCAAAGACTTGCCAAAGAGCCGCAACTGGCAACAGTACACCAATAAGCAGCAGACAGCCGTCCCCCAGCAAGTCGACTACAAGACGAACTACTCAATCTGCTTCAAGTTCCAAATCAAGTGGTGGAAATCTGAATGACGGCAGGGCCCACGCTAGCATTGCATCCGAAGGGCCAACGAAGAAAAAAAAGACTCGTGGAGGCAGAAGGAAGAAGTTATCTGCTACGGATCCAGGGGATGAAGGAGGTTGTGGCAGCTCGGAGTCAGACACATCGCGCCCGACAAAGTCGTCGGCCCTACCTGAAGCAGGATCCGGGAGAAAGCTAACGGCGGTGGCGGAGATATTAACTAATGTGAAGCCTGCGCCTGTAGTAAGAATAGCAGGGATAGGTGCAACAGAGCAATCGAGAAATGGTGATGGGGGAAGCAGTCTTGTTCCATCATCAGCCAATGGAGATGAGGTTAATCCCATTAAGATCGAAAATGCAAGCGATACTAAGGTCATGACACCCAATGAGGGGCAGCTTGCGAGTCGTGGCCAAATCCCAGGAAATAGTAGTTGCGAAGAAGCATTCACCGGCCTGGGCAGTGGCCAAGGACCTAGTTTCACAAAGGCTGTTAACAAAAGAAACCGGCCGCGGCCTAGTAAGGCAGAGAAGCTTGTACAAAGGCAATCTGAGGCCAAGGCTGATTCTGCAAACTTCCAGAACAACTCCCAGGATATATATCAAAGGACTGGGTCAGAGAGTGATCTAAATGAACATTCAATGATAAGTATCGCGGATATACCTTCTGACGACGAACTTGGAGCTGAGAAAATAGAGGAGATCTTCGGAAGAAACGATGTGCCCGATTCAACCAAGCTGGAACGTATTAAGCTCATCATGATCAAGCAAAACCAAATCATTGCCCGAAAGACCCAATTGGTGAACAATTGCCTCAAGGAAAACGAGACGCTACAAGAAAGAGTTGAGGAATTTGACTCCAGCATCCTGACCCAGGAAGATGACAAAAATGAGCAACAGGGACAAATCGACAAGTTGAAGACGATGGTGGACGAATTCCGGCGACAGATGCAAAGTCAAGAGTCATTCATCAAAATTGCGGAGCAGGACAGATCTCGACTCGAAGAAGAGCTCAGATCCAGCGCAACGTCACTCAAGAGCGCAGAAAGAGATAGGAAGGCGCTCAAAGAATCAGTTTCCAAGATGACGGAAGATATGGCCAAAATGCAAAACGATATTGTACAGCTAACAGGAGAGAAAAACGGGTTTCTCGTGACTATTAGCAAATATGAGTCAGAACTTCATATGTTGCTGTGCCAGTTGCACAACGGCCCTACGCAGACGGAAAATGTTCGTTTAGCGGCCGAACTTCTGGGGAAAAATGCAGAGCTTGCTGTTACCAATCAAAACTTCAAGGATTTGCAAAGAGAATTTACAGCCTTGAGAAAACGCCACAAGAAGGAGCAAGGCAGGCGCATGCCATCAGCACTGAATACGGAGCTAAGGTTTCTGAGGGACGGAAAAGAAGAGGAGTGGGAGCCTTTGATAGATCAGAGTGGCGTGGAGAGAAATCCTTTTGCCCTGCTGTCATCTCCAGTCACGCCAACTCTTTTCCAATTTGGCGAACCAATATCCTTTGGGGCTGGTGGAGAGAAGGAAGTTACGTATAAAATCCCAAAAACGTTTCTGCGCCAAACGGGCGAGGAAACAAAGGACTCAGACTCTCTCGTGTGTCCGAATGGTTGTCCTCAGACAGAGACCTCACAGAGGGTATTGCGCTTGATGGAAAATGAAGAGCTAGAAGTGTTGGAAGCTTCGACGCAGACACAGAAATATGTTGAACTTGGCAAGGACAACTCGGCTCAGACAAACGTGGTGGAGATGCTGGAGGCTTTCACACAGACAATTGCAGGTGATGGTACGCAGGAATCGGAGGTGATCGAAGCTTCCACGCAGACAATGTGCGAACTTGGGGTCTCCAGAGGCAGCCAAACAACCCAGTTGGGCTTTTCAGCAGGTTCATCGCAGACAGAGACAGATGTGAGAGTTCATACGGTGAAGATGTTGGAAGCTTCTTCACAGACGACGGTGGGGATTGATTTCTCAACCTCGACCCAGACGGACACAGTTGCTCTGTTAGAAGCTTCGACACAGACTGACAGAAATTATGGCGCTTGGGAGATGACCGATGTTTTGGTACAGACAGAGCCAGTCACCGCCCTCCAAGGAAGCGGTTTGGCGCGGGGGATTAGACTTGCGCTCATCATGTTTGCATGGGCGACGATCATGCTATGGGGACACAAGGAGGACCAGCGATTGTGGCTTGATGCCAATGGGGTGTCCCGTGCTTCCCTCGTAGCCATTCGAGATAGGTCGCTGGGCCCATTTCTATGGCTTGAGCAGTTAAAATTTGAGCTCATTCTCTGGTTGCAGGTAGACCGGGTACTTCCTGGATGAGGACTCCAGTTTGCCTCCTCCAAATCATGTGCTTCAGGTGACAAGCGTCGTCACTGGACATCTTCACATTTTTCGGTATCATTTAGCCAGCTTTGCCCATCAAGTCGATAGGGTATATTTTCCTTACATCTAGACATTCTGCGCCCTCCTTCGGATTGGGGTGCAGTAATCATTGATCCTGTAAATAAGTTTTTAACATTTTAGCCTCATTTATGCTGGATTTCTTGTTTGGAGTTTCCATGGTGCTGAAGTTGTTTTGAGGTCATTGTTGTTTGAGCCATCCAATCCCCAACTCCACCCCGCCAAGAATCTATTTTTAAATAGGAATAGTAGCCAAACACACTATGTGACAGATATTTAACACATATTAATCTCTCTTAAATTTTTATAGAATACATACACTGTAGACTTTGTTATGTTGAATGCTAACTAAGAGGGCATTAATAATGGTATTAAAAAATCATATCACATGGTGGTTTTCAGCTATCATAGAAGTCTATACTTTATATATCGCCAAGCTTCAAAGGGATGCTGGCGCTCAGACGTGTCCCACGACGATAAGAGGCCTGTACTCAATTGTGGAGATAGAGAGTATTGAACTTCGCAGTAGTTTTCTCTAGTTATTCCAACCACTATAATTGTACTTTTGAGACTCTTCGTTTCCTTACACAGTAGATATCATAGATCATTGAATCGGGAGATTTGTGACTGTACAAGTACTAGATGTGTGGGAGTGGGTTTGAACTTTGTTG